AGGACCGAGGACCGAGGACCGCGTCGCCTTCGTCGGCGTCGAAGTCGGCGTTGGCGTCGGTGGCGGCCTCGATGTCGACGTCGGCGGCGGCGTCGCCGGCGTAGTTGCTGCCGCCGTCGCCGTCATCGTCGGCGGTCGTTGTCCATCGTCTGTCGTTTGTCTTCTGCCCGCTGTCGTCGGTCGACAGGCGTCGTCTGTCGACCGTCGTCCGGCGTCATCGTCGTCAGTCGTTCTCGTCATCGGCACCGTCGTCACGGCGTCGGCGTTCACGCGTTACGTCGTTGTCGGCGCCGTTGTCGTAAGCATGGTCGTCGTCGTCGCCGTCGTCGTCGTCGGCTTTGTCTGTCGGATGGTCGATGGGAACGCGAGCATGGACCGAAGATCATGGGCGTCGTCGCCGGAGGAAGAGAAGGAGGAGGAAGAGGAGGAGGAGGACGAGGAGGAAGAGGAGGAGGAGGAGGAGCAGGAGCAGGAGCAGGAGGAGGAGGAGAGAAGGAGGAGCAGGAGGAGGCGAGGGGCAGGGGGAGAAGGAGGAGGGATGAGTAGGAGTAGGAGGGGGGTCAAGTTTAACATGGCGAGCAAGTCGCGCATGACATGAACATCCCCACCCATCCTCACACAACGTAAGAAACAGTGCTGGTGCTGACGCAATTGGGGGCTGCGCGGGCATTTCAGTTGGAGTCGAGGATGCCCCAGGACGCCCCGGGAGCCCACCCCGCAGGAGGCGTCCCCCCAGGAAGCCTCTGGAAAACAACATGGGCCCCGCGAGGGCCACTGAAGCCAAAGGAGGCCCCAGGAGGCTCCTGGAGGCCCCCCCCCCTCCCGGGGACCCCAGACTGTTATCATAAGGGCCGTGGGTCGAGAACAAGGAGGGCGACGACCAGGACGAGGATGGCCAGGAGGAGTCTCGGGAAGCGCTGAGGAACATCGGCACGCTGCTCTCTTGCGCGGCGTCCGGCAAGCATTCCGCAACGAAAACAACAAGCAAGTCCACGCTGAGAATAAACATGTTGATGTTGTATGGGATTTTGACTGGTAGGATTGCCCATCCCGCTTGGGGTGGCCCCAGACGTCCGCGCGCGATGTGCGCCGCGTCCCGTTCCTGCTACGCAATGCGCATCGTCGACGACAAGACAGGCCATGTTGAGAGGAACGACGGAGACTTTGTCCTGATTTGTTTACAGTCAGGATGGGAGGGCCCGGATTGACGTCCGCGCGCGATGTGTTTCGCATCGTCGACGACAAGACAGGCCAGATCGAAAGGAAAAACCGGGACGTTGGACTGATTTTGTAAGTCGGGATGGGAAGACCCGGATTGACGTCCGTGCGCGTTGTTCGCCGCGTCCTATTCCTGTCACGCATTTCGCATCGTCGGCGACAAGACAGGCCACGGTGAGAAGAAACGCAAAGACTGCGCATTCATTTTCGACAGTCAAGATGGGAGGGCCTGGATTGACGTCCGCGCGCGATGTTCGCCGCGCCCCATTTCTGCCACGCATTTCGCATCGTCGACGACAAGACAGGCCAGATCGAGAGGAAAAACGGACACGTTGCATTGATTTCTTCAAAGTCGGGATGGGAAGGCCCGGATTGACGTCCGCGCGCGATGCGCGCCGCGTCCAATTTGTGCTACGCATTTCGCATTGCGGACGACAAGACAGACCAGGTCGAAAGGAAAAACGGACATGTTGTATTGATTGCTGCAAGTTAGGATGGGAGGGCCCGGATTGACGTCCGCGCGCGATGTGCGCCGCGTCCCGTTCTTGCTACGCAATTCGCATCGTCGACGACACGACAGGCCATGTTGAGAGGAACAACGAAGACTTGGTTTTTCGTCAAGATGGGAGGGCCCGGATTGACGTCCGCGCAAGATGCGCGCCGCGTCCCGTTCTTGCTACGCATTTCGCATCGTCGACGACAAGACTGGCCATGTCGAGAGGGAAAGCGAGCACGTTGTATTTGTGTTACCATTAGAATGGGAGGGCCTGGATTGACGTCTGCGCGGGATGTGCGCCTCGCCCCGCTCCTGCCACGCAGTTCGCATCGTCGACGACAAGATAGGCCATGTCGAGAGGAAAAACTGATGTTTGTGTAGTTGTTTAAACTCAGGATGGGACCCCCCCGGATGGGGTGTCTACTGGCCGGACACAGGGGGGAGTAAGAGTATATTCCAATAAGGGACGAGGCTTGGAGCAGGCAAGAGGGTGCAGAAGGAATGGGTGAAGAGGAGAGGGAGGATAATCTTTGTGTAGGAGGAGCAAGGGGGGGAGAGGAGGATCGAGAATGGGGGGCTAGGAAGAGGAGGAGGAGGAGGAGGAGGAGGAGGAGGAGGAGGAGGAGGAGGAAGAGGAGGAGGAGGAGGAGGAGGGGAGAACAGGAGGGGAGAAGTGGAGAGACGAGAAGAGGAGTAAAGAGGCATAGGGGGAGGAGGGAGATGAGAAAGGGAAGAGGAGGACGACGCGGACAAGGATGAGGAGAGAGCCGCAGGAGACCATCGCACAAGGAGAATGCGGTTGAGGAGGAAGTTGGGAGAGAGGAAGGGAGGGGTAAGGTGTGAGGAGGGGGAGGGGAGAGGGGGTACGTAGGAGGGGGAGGAGGGAGAGGGAGGAGGAGGCGGAGCAGCAGCTCAGAGGGATTCGAGGATGGATGATGTTGAGGAGGAGGGCGAGGATCTGGAGTGAAGGAGGGGAGGAATTAAGCGGAGCAATAGGTGGGGGAGGGGGAGGAGGAGGAGAAGAAGCAAGGCGCGGTCGCGTCACATCTGACGTTCAACCGCTCACACCCATCCGTCATGTTCGATCCGCCGACTGGGGTTTCCTGGAGGACCTTACTGCCCAAAGTTTGGCAGGTACCAACAGGGGGAGAAGGAGGATCAGGAGCAACAGGACGGGGATGAGCAGCAGGCGGCGGATGATGACGAGGACCAGGAACCAGGACGAGGAGGGGCAGCAGCAATAGCAGGAGCAGAACGAGGAAGAGAAGCAGGAGGTTCAGCAGAGGTCGGAGCAGGGGGGAAAGGAGGGCGGCATCAACAACGAAGAACGAATGGGATCCAGGAACGTTGGCCGCGCTGGGGCGAGAGCGCCAGTCTGCACGATGGGAGGGCACCGAGACTGAAATGTCGTCAACGCTGCACTGGGAACATCATGTTTGAAAGACCGGCGCAGCACAAATCAACGAGACCAGCTCGCACGATTGTATCAAGATCGACCGTGTATAGAGGATGCAGAGCGCAGCAGGAGGAGGAGGAGGAGGATAACCAGCCCAGAGGATATCGATATGGACGGGGAAGAAAGTTGGGAGGAGGAGCATCAATAATGCCACGAGGATGGGATGAGGGGAAGGAGGAGGCGCATGAGGATACGGAGGAGGGAAGCAGGAGGATACGTAGGAGGCAGATGGGGGGAGGAATGCCTTGCTGGTCGATGGCCGAAGGAACCCTGCACCGATCCTCTTTCGTCCTTGTTTCTCGTCCCGCCAGGTACCTTCTTCCTTCTTGCTCTCTCCTCCTTCCTCCTCCTGTCTCCTCTCTCCCCCTCTCTCCTCCTCCTCCTCCCCCTCCTCCTCCTCCTCCTCCTCCTCCTCCTATCCTCCCTCCTCCTCCTCCTCGCTCTTCTCCTCCTCCCCTCCTCCTCCTCCCTCCTCCTCCTCCTTGCTTTTCTCCTTGCTCTCGTCGTCCTCCTCTTCCGCCTCCTCTTCCTCCCCCTCCTCCTCCTCCTCGTCCTCCTCCCTCGTCCTCATCCTTTCCTCCCCCTCTCCTCCTCCTCGTCCTCCTCCCTCGTCCTACTCCTCCTCATCCTCCTCCTCCCTCCTCCTCCCCTCCATCCCCGTCCTCCTCCTCCTCCTCCTCCTTCCTCCTCCTCCTCTTCCTCCTCCCCCATCCTCCTTCTGCTCCTGTTTCTCATCCTCCTCCTCCTCCTCCTCCTCCTCCTCCTCCCTCAGTTGCTTTCCTTATGAATGACTCCTTCCTGTTCCACCTCAAGGCTAGTCGGCTGGGCGTACCGGGCGTTTCGCCTGAGACCTCCTCGCCATGTATGGTCTTCAAGCTTAAGGTTCGGCAACTGTTTCACGGCTGGATGGCGGGTCGCTTTCAAATTATGGTTATCGCCTTAGCGCCGCGCACATCCCTTAAACACATGCAAGAGTTTCACATATTGAGGGTGGCTGGTTTTCAACATGCGGTTGTCACTTAAGCGCCGCGCACATCCGTTATCAAAGTTGTCAAAGCTCCACGGGTTCAGGACTGGTGGTGTTCAACATGTGATTCTCTCCTTGGCGCCGCGTACATCCGTTCTTTAACATGGAAGTGATGCACCGATGGAGGGCGGGTGGCTTTCAACATGTGGTTCTCGCTTACGAGCCGCGCACATTCGTCACACACAAATGTGCATGAGTTTCACTGACGGAGGGCGGTTCCTTTTCAACCCGCGGTTCTCGCTTAAACGCCGCGCACAAGCGGTTGCATGGATTCTGTACGTGTTGGCACGATGTCGGATTGTCCGGGCGCAACAGTTGCTTTGATACGAAGTGTTGAAGTCGCAGGAATGGCGTATTGACACCGTTCAAGACCGTCAAGACGCAAGAGTAACGGCGATGCGGGGCGCTGAATGCCAGACATGGTGCCCTGGCACAGTTCAGGATTATCAAGCAGGTGTTTCCCAATGGGACACTTCCTGCTGTGCTAATGAATATGTGTAGGTGCTTGTGAATGGGGGGGTGCGGAGTTAGGGTTTATTGCAAGTCCGTCGATGGGTCTTGGTTGTACACTGGTCCTCCTCCTCCTCCTCCTCCTCCTCCTCCTCCTCCTCCTCCTCCTCCTCCTCCCCCTCCGCCTTATCCTCCTCCTTATCCTTCTCCACTCTCGTCCTCCTCTCTACGCCTTGTCGTGCTTCCTCCTCGTCCTCCTCCCCCCATTCATCCTCCCTCGCGGACGTTCCCTTCTTAACGTCCAAGTGCGTTCCACCGCATCCTTCCCCCTCCTCTGGTGCGAGAGGCTGCCG